GGGGGCAGCGGGGATGATGCTGGGATGCAGCTGGGATGCAGTGGAGGTGCAGTGGGGATGCTGTGGGGATGCAGCAGGGGTGCAGGGGGGTTGAAGTGAGGGTGCAGCAGGGATCCCACGGGGGGTGCAGCGGGGATGCAGCAGGGATGTAGCGGAGGGGCAGGGGGGATACAGTGAGGGTGCAGCAGGGGTGCAGTGGGCACTGCAGGCAAGTTCTCTACGAGACCATTGGTGCAACAGTGAGTGCAAAACCCTGTCGTCACCTGTGTGAGCAACAGAGCGGCTGTTCGGCTTCATCCTTGCTAACGAGAGACTGAACCAGGGCTGGAGAAGAGCTGTCTCCTGCCCTTCCTGCACAACTGCTCCGCCTAATAGACTTCTGTTCCCCATGAAACTGGACTCCATCTCTTGAAACACACATATATATGTACATACACACACATACATACGTATGCATATAGATAAGCATTTAGGAGAAAGCCCTCTGCACGCCGTGGGTTGCAGGAGGGCACTGCAGCCTCCCGCCCGGCCGCAGCCCCACGCTGCGGGATCCCAGCCTGCCCTTCGCAGCGCCACGGCCCGGACCGGGGATTTGGCATCTCTCCCTGTCGCTGCGAGACCGGCTACACGGCAGAGCGGCGGAGAGCAGCCGGAGCCGGCCGTGCCTCGCAGCCGGCAGTGCCTCGCAGCCCGCGTCCCCGCGGCACGCACGGTTCGACGTGGTCGGGGGGCGGCCAGCTGTCAGCCCGTGCTGTTGGCGTACTGCGCGCACGGAGACAGGAGAAGCAGAGAGCCGCAGCGCCTGCGACCAGGGGAAGGCAGGGACCAACAGGAGGACGATCGATAGTTCTCATTAGTCAACGACCAAGGAACAAGAATTAATGGACTTCGGTGGTAGCCAGGGGAACACGGGCTGCACGTCGGGGGAAATTCAGGGCTGGAGTTCAAGCCCAGCCCGTAAATCCGTCCCGGTGGCGTAAGACCAGCCCAGGCAGGGCACGGGGGGATCAGTACGATGTGCCACAACACACCGCCACGCCGGGCAGTGCGGCAGCCAAATATTTGGAAGAAATGTTTATTTAACAACTGAATACATGCTAAAAGAAATAATTTACAGCAGCAGTTTCATTACATTTTTTCTCTCCAGTTTTCTAGTTCCCATCTGAATTGAAGTGATAAATACAGAAGTAGAATTATTTACTATCCAGTGAGGAATGTGCTTAAAGAATAAGCGCATAACTTTGGCACTGATGTAGCAAATAAACCACCTTATCACCTGTGTGGCAAAATCTTGCATTTTAGTATTATGCTGAACACACCGAAATGGAGTACCTCTAGATAACAGTACTTTACACTGTACCTCCTTATCTAGTCAAAAATATTTACATCTCTTTTGGCTAATGTGTAGGTAGCAAAAACTGAACTATTAAACACATACCATTGATATTCACTAAATAATACATAAAAAGGATCAGTAAATGCGCATTCACATGCATTTAATTTAATTTTTTTTTTTTTTTTTTACATAGTGACTTTATTGGGTCATGAAGATTTAACTCTGTTCTGCAAAGATGCACATTTTCTCATTTTGATGTTATAGTTTAACATAACCATAGAGTTTTTAGGAGCCATTGAACAAATTCCCATCTTCAGTGATCCATGCAAGTGCAAAGTGTAGATGAATAAGAGTCAATGCATTTGTGTTCCTTGCAAATGGATATCTTAAACCAAATCAAAATAGATCTTTCTGATTATAAATGAAATCCTTTATTTCTCTCCAGCTTAAACAGAACTTTTTACTTACTTTTTCTAAAGTCTGTAACTAGAGGTTTAGAGGGTTTTATTGACGATTTACAGAAATATCATTTTTACCTTTATCTTCGACCCTTATGTTGTTTTAAACAATAATGACACAATCGGCGCGGCTGCGGGGGGCGAAGGCAGAGCGGGCCCTGCAGCACCCGTACCTGACCCCGTCCCATCCGCAGGGCACCAAGGGCTGCAGCACCGCCCGGGCTCTGCCAGCAACGCGACCGCAGCCAGAGTCACTGGGGGAAATACCCAGCGGTTTCTGTCCGAACGTGAATCCGGACCAAGGACTGACATTTTACATTACATTAAAACAATACCTGTCTTTTTTTCTTTGCCTTTTTTAAATTGGAGCAGGTCAAATTTGCCTTACATTATTACATCCCATTTAAGCTCTTAGCATCTTCCAGTTTTTCAATCCAAGAAATGAATTAAAACGATGGGGGACTGTGTATGGGCAATCGCAGAATCCATGTCCTGCCCACCCCTATTGTTTATCGAGCTCCTTCCCTTTCTCCTCTCCACAAACTCACCGTGACTCCGCTGCTGAAAAAATGCCGAGGATGACAGATTTTTACTGTTTGCTCTTTGACTTTGTAGGACACTAAGGCACAGCCTGATCTGAAGCAAACCACTCATCCTTTGCTCTCCTCGCTTTGAACCCCGAGCTCTGCCTGATTGCACTAATCTGCACAGTGGCCTCAAAGGCATAAAATATATCAGACTTTGCAAAGATTAAAGTTACAGGGATGCACACAAATAAATTGATTTGATCTGGGATTTGTAACAGGTTGCCATAGCATCATATTCTAAGTATTATAAAATCACTCACACAACTTAACAACGTGTTCCTCTGTCACATGCTGATTGCTTCTTTGGGGCCAAACTGCTGGAACTGCTCCTGCAATTCCAGGGAGAGCAAAACAAACCCATTCACCAGCCACCGCTTGTAATTAGCCTCCGTGCACTGGAAATATGTTACGCTAAACTGCAACCGCTGACTGGGGATGATTCAGTCTGCCGTCAGCTACGGGGTCAAGGGCCATCAGCCTAATTCCCAAACAGTTTACCCTCACGGGATGATAAATGAATCATGAGGAAGATTAGCAGGTCTTTATCCGTGCACCAGCGCGCTCGCTCGGAGAAGCAGCCCCCGGGGATCTCCCCTGAAGACGCCGGCAGAGCCAGCGGGCGCTCGCGGCAGCCCCACGCCGTGACCCGGTCCCCCCCTGCGCCGGGGGTACAAGTGTCTGCAGAGCCCGAACCACAGCAAAGGTCCCAGGCGGTCACTCCGGCGAGGACCACAGCCAGGGGACGCCGTG